ACAAGAAAGTTATGATAGACTACGATTGGCCTTTCACGATGAAGCCCCATCTCGTGCGACTGTTTACAACTGGTTTAATGAGTTTAAACGTGGTCGCACTAATCTCACTGATGATTTACGTGAGGGACGGCCTTCTACGGCGACGACTGAAGATAACATCTGTGTTGTGCGGCGTATGATAGAGACTGACAAAAGAGTGACCTATCAACAGATTCGGACAAGCTTAGGCATCGGTATGAGTCAAGTGCACAAAATCCTCCACGAACATTTAGCGGTCAGGAAGCTTTGCGCCCGGTGGATACCTCATAATTTGACTGAGGCTCAAAAACTCCATCGTGTGGATTGGTGTCGTAAAATGATTGAAAGATTTAACGGAGGTGACTCAAATGCTGTGTTCGACATACTAACAGGTGACGAAAGCTGGATTTACTGTTATGATCCTAAAACCAAAAGACAATCTGCTCAGTGGGTGTTTCCTTTCGAGGAGTTGCCAACTAAAGTGAAGAGAGATCGAAGTGCGGAAAAAAAATGGTGGCCTCGTTCTTTGGAAGGATAGGTCATTTTGCAACAATTGTGTTAGAGGATCAAAAAACAGTTTCTGCAGAATGGTACACTACCAATTGTTTGCCACTTGTCTTGGAAAAAGTTCGAGAGAAACGACCTCGCAGTAGGATCCTCCTTCACCACGACAACGCCTCGTCGCACACCGCCAAGCGAACGATCGACTATTTGGCGACATCAAACGTTGAATTACTGGGTCACCCGCCGTATAGCCCCGACCTCGCGCCTTGTGATTTTTATTTATTTCCAAAAATTAAAGAAAAACTTAAAGGAAAGCGGTTTATGAATGCTGAAGAAGCGGTGGCTGCGTATCGCGATGCCATTGAAGAGACCCCTAAGGACGAGTGGGCAAAGTGCTTTTCCCAGTGGTTCCATCGCATGCAGCGGTGTATTGACGTGAATGGACAATATTTTGAAAAGATATAATAAAACTAATAACTGGCTAATGTAATCAGTTTTTGATTTTCTAAGAACTTTCAGTTTGACCCTCGTATATCAGAGTTTTATCGGGTGTACTCTAGGGACAATCTTCATACTTATAGTTTTATTCTCTCGCCTTTCTTTGAATTCATAAACCGCATACTTTCCCGCTTTTGGGATCGGCTATACACGCCGCCTCACTGGTATATTTTATTTCATTGAACCTCGGTGCATTCTACGCTGTATTGTAACAAAATAGGAAAGCCACTCTTAATAATAAAAGTAATTCTATTATAAAACAGATGTGCATATGAACTCATTAGTATAGATTCTGTTGCACAAACAAGACTGAATTTAATTCAATTTCTTAGTTTTTATATTCAATGATGGCGCTGTTATAATATGTTGAGAGTTTTTGGTCTCCAGATCTGAAGATCTTCATCGAATTTCTACCAACCAAATTAACACTTAGGTATTATATTATAACTATATATGTATATTATGTTTGATTAATTTTGGATCCACAATGATATACTGAATATTTTTCCTTAATAAAAAATGCTTAATAATCCACTCTGAAATGGAACTCGAACCCATGACCTAACAGGACTGACAAATTTTTCAAGCACTTGCCACTTTTTCGCTACTAAAGGGCGTATTTTCATCAATTTTTACAAATATCAAAATTTTTGTTGAAAATGTTTTTTTTCTATATAATATATATCATTAAATTATAATTCGCAATGCTGTACTGAAAAATATTCTTAATGAGTGAAAGTCCCATTTCAGAGTGTCAGCTATATGACACTTATCCAATACTTATTAGTCAGACCTTAAGTATTTATGTGGACTTCATTTAATTTTCTTAATGAAAAATGCTTAAAAAATCCACCAGCTTCAGATACTCTGAGATGGGACTCGAACCCACGAACTTTCACAATCTGGACGAATTCGCATTGTGAATGCAATATTGATCAAAACTCTATTTCATAACTCTCCGGTTGACTGGTAGAAAATGCCTAAGTAATGTTTAAACAAATATCAATGAAACAATGTTGATATAAAATCAAATATACCAATTTCATTTTAAAAGCAAATAAAAACAAAAATCCCTTTCAAAGGTTGATATAAATTCGATCATATTCTCCACTTGACACTGTCAGTTGATGTCGGCAACACAAAAAAGAAAGCGACGTTTGACGAATTTATTTTAAACAAACAGTTTAACTCAAATCAGTTCACACTAACAAACCATTAACGTTCCAACTTCATTTCTGTTGAAGGATATTCAAATTACGTAATCGCTTATGGACGCGTGTGTTAGACATTCACCTATGCTATTTCATAAAAAAAGAGTTTTATTTGGTGTAATATATTGCACAAGTTAAATCCTTTCATTCGATACACTTAATAGGTACGTTATTAAGAAATATGTGCGCCGTCATTTTGTTACGGCAGTCATTTTGGATAATAATACCAATTATAACAGGTTGTAGAAATAGTTTTTTCGCATTTTATATGAAAATTCAAACATTTAAAAAATATTTTCATTTAACACTACAACTTTTTGCCACCTAGTTTTGTAGGGATATGATCCCATTGCTATAGAAATTTTGGGACTTTTAATCAAGAAACAACGATAAGGGGTTTTGGCAGTCCTCGCGTGATGTTAATCTGACATTGCCTAAAGGATTCTAAAGAGACTGAAACAATTGGAAATGTGAAGGTGCAAGGATAGGATTATACGGAGGATGCATTAACACCTCCCAGCCAAACTCTCATAATTTTTGCTGAGTGGCAAAATATGTGTGAGATCTAGCGTTATCATGATGAAAAACGGCAACCCTGCTATTAATTAATTCTCTATTACAATTTTTCTTTAATCTAATCGGTTGTTCGCAGTAGAGTTCAGAATCGATGGTCATGCATGGCGGTAACAGCTCATAATGAATAGTTCTCTTCCAGTACCGCCACACACACAGCCTCACCATCATCACCAAACGGAATTCATTAAGTTTCTTTCAGTGAGCTTGTGAGTTACCCAAATATCCAAATTTTTGTGTACCCAGCTTTTTCAAATGCACCAAAACTGTTTTGTTATAGTCAATCCCCAGTTCTTTAGATATGTCGTAACTACTGATATGCCGATCTTGCTCCACTTTTTAAGAAGCGACGTGCATCTTTGATAACAAAACTCCCGGACACTATCCCAGCATAGAGGTTCAATCAAATAAAACCTACGTCAAAAGGTAATACGGGTTTTATTTCATTGCATCTCAATGCTGTCACCGCATTACGCTCGACGAAGAGTTCGAAGCTATATTAATCAAAGTGGTAAATGTAAGATTTGCGTTAACGCGTTCGTGCGTTAAGAATTTCTATGAAGATTTGTAGTTCTTGATAGTTATCGCTAGAATATTACATACTAAAATCTTAACGCGTTCGCGATTGATGGTGAATGTTACGCTAAAAAAACATACACGAAGAACTCAGAACAGCATAGCAGAAAAGACTACGTGTATATTTTTTACTTCCTGTTATTGAAATTTACAGAAAATGTACTATGTACTCATAAGAAGGTGGATACACAATCGCTATCTTTCATCTGGTTTTAAAAACCAATTAAACTATATTTGATCAATTTTGCATTCAATAAATTAGACTAGAAAATAAGTACCAGGGACAAAGCGATTTTTTTAAGCATTTTCCGTTAAGAAAATTACATCACGTTTATAAGGGTAGTGTTTAAGCCAAACCCCAAATAAATAAAAAAATAGATAGCAAAAAATCGCAAAAGCAAATAAGACATGAGAACCTTCGAATTGAGTTAGACCTCCATGGCTCGCATGCCCCTCTCTCTAAGGTCTAGGATTCCAGCTTGTAATTACCACTAGTAGGTATTTAACTCATTGCATTTAATACTCAATATATATATTAAATAATAATAATTATATAAATTTCATCTAAGTAGATATCATCACTATCATCATCATCAGCCCATTTACATCCCCACTGCAGTGGCTCAGGCTTTCCGTTTGGATGTTTAAGGTGGGTGGGCCACGAACCTCCACGCTGTCCCTATGGGGATTGGAGGGTATAACGACTGCAAATGCAGCTGGGACCAACGGCTCAGCGTTCCATCCGAAACACAGAGTAGTTCGACGATATATTTTGGTCACCCATCCTGGGATGGACCCGTGCAAAAATCACTTAATAACAATGATCGCGGGCAGCGGCGCTTTACGCCACCGAACTACTTGTATTTAGCGCGATTTTGTCTTCAAGATATTGGGCATAAGTGTAAATGTCTTCTAAATTTTTAATGGTTTTGTATTGTAATAAATTAAACTATAGTCTGTAGCAACCGCGTATTCATGATCTAGGTACTCGCCACACAAAATTTACAAACCACCCAGTTTTATACATATTAAAACTACTTTTGAATTTTCCAACTTCTTTTTTCATCATCGTTCAAGATGTCTTTTGGCTGATACAAATCCGTAACGGAATCACTAAAATAATTAGGTTTATTTGCATTTTTAAACAATTCAATACAGTTTATATCAACCAATACTTGAACTGATAAACTTAAAAAAAAATCAACATAAACTTGCGTCAAACAAATGCAACTTCCCAAACATAAAACGGTTTATTGCCCCATAACACCGCTACCGCAACATTTAATAGTCCGCAGTAAACCGCAAATTAATTCCTCAAATCGTTATAAAGTCATTAGCACGAGGGCGCCTCAATCTCTTGACACCCAGTGAAATCATCCGCTTTATTTACACTTAGTAAACAGACAGAAAGGGAAAAACTTATGGAGAGCTTACGCTTAGTGGAAAAGAGATGGGTAGCGATCCCTAGCTCCGCCCATCACAGCAAGAGCCCCGTGGATTGGCTTCGACGCACAATCTTAAAACCATCAGTACCCAAACGCGTGTCTTTTGAACCACAAGTTAATTAAATCGAACATCAATTAGTCAAAGTTTATTTACAAGAGGCAGTGAAAGTGAAAAATGGAATACGAATACAATGGAGAAGTGACAGTTTACAATAATAACAGTCAGAAATTGAATTACAATTGTAAAAATGAGTTTTACAATCATATAAATAACGAATGTTTCGATAAAATCAGACAAAAAGATTACGTTAGTAAAAACTATGGAATGAAAATGGAGGAGCAAATGGGACAAAATTTGAACACTCCGTTTTCCGTCAAGGACATTCTGAATATCAATCAGCAGCCGAATTATTACGAACGAAACGATGCATGGAAACCGAGCGATAGAGACAGAAGACTCGAGTATCCTCACGACCAGATATACCATCAGACACAATATTGTTCCCCAGATTATTTCAACCAAGTATATCCAAATATACCTGTGCATGCAAACGTCGATCCTTATTGGAGCCAGGATATGTACCACGATCCTAAAATTGAGGAATACTACAGTTATAATCAGTACTGTCATAATTTATATCATCCGAACTATGACTATACTGAAGCAGTTACAGCTCATCAGATTGAAAGTCACCAGAAGGAACCTGTTTTACGGGATCCCATTCATGTTCCTAGTAATCCAATATTAGAACACAAGAATGAAAAACATGCTGAGCAAGTAATAGATACAACATACAGTCATACGGAATTATTTGAGAAAATTACATCCACGCCGATCAAAAATACTAGTAAGTCAATTATTAATTATATAATAAATCAAAATAATAAGTAAGTGCAAATATAATTTAACTTATAATATACCTTAAAATTTAAAATTTATAGAATCATTTTTCGTATTAGTTCATATCAATAACAACGAGTACTTTCTGTAGAGTATTTTGCTAAAATATTATACTAAAATATTTAAGAACATAATTTTTGATTATATTGTAAGCGTTAAATAATTATATAATTTGATTCCAGGAGAGCCATCGGCAGCATCCAGTAAACAAGAAAGAAAAGATAAAAACGCGAAAAGAAAACCAAGAATCCTATTCTCACAAACCCAAGTTCACGCCCTGGAAATCAGATTTCGGGCTCAAAAATACCTCACCGCCCCCGAAAGAGAAGAACTAGCAAAAAATCTAAACCTAACACCTACTCAAGTAAAAATATGGTTCCAAAACAGGAGATACAAGAGTAAGAGGATCAAATCACCGGAAGTATCGACATCAACTGACGCAAAACCAAATAAAAACACGTCCAACAGAAAACTTTACAAGACAGATAATAAATTGAATTCGGTGTATGATTACAAAACCGATGTAGAAGATGTTTTATCAAAAGGTTTGAATAACGATGAAAATTTGACTACTACAATTTATTTTGACGACAGCCTTACATATGAAGAAAACACGCATGATAAATATTATGATGGTAAATTGGAAATTGACGAATCCATAGAGACACACTCTGATATGTCAGGTTATTTAAAATGCCCACCTGATGTTCACATAGATACAACCAAAGTCCACCCAAGCGACGGTCCAGAACTAAAGAAGTATTTTAATAACATGCATTACTTATGTTCCTAGCTTTATTGTTTTTTAAGTTGTGCCATTTTTAGACTGAGTACCAAAGAGTATTAATAAAAAGTTATCTTTGTTATTTTGTACTTAATTTTAAATATAATGAGAAATGCTTTAGTTATGATGAACTTTCTTTCTTAGTGTTTAAGTATTTTTAGATTATGTATTGTTTTTATTTTATATAAAAATAAAAAATGAGATTTTATGAGTAGTATATATTTTCCCTGTATAATTTGAATTGATTTAGACAGTTTATAAATGTTTATTTTTTAAACCAAAAAACAAACAAAAGCAACGAAATCTCTTTCGTATTAAAATTTTGTCCAGATTTTTTAATTTGGCTGTATCTTGTTGACATTAATAAAATATCATTAAAATATGAATTGTTAATAAACAGAAACTTGTATCACTATCATCGCTAGCCATCAACTTGGAAACGTAATGCATTAGTAAATTTTGTCCTGAAAACGTCATTTCTATTAGTGTCAGTTGTTATTAAGAGCTACTAAATTTTCCATAATACAAAAAATGTACAGATAAAATTCCGTCATATTTTCTGATTCATGGCTTTTTAATTCTATTTTCAATTTGTTTTCATGAATTAATGTTCTAGAGAATAGAAAAATGAGCAAATGAGTCATCTTTATTTATAACACATTAAAATATACAAAAAAAAGTAAAAGAAATACTCCATAAACCGATCATACGGTTTATTGGTTACAGCAATTAATAAACTCGACGCGAAGTATAAAAAAAGTCTGTGCGACAATCTTCTTTAAATGTTTCAGTGTTGTATTTTGTTTTTTTTTTTTCATTAAATTTGTAAGATCTGCTTTTAACTGAATTGCTACCATACCACTACGAGGGTTGGGCGCCACAGAGATGCGACGGCTGTTGGTGATCAATGCAAATATATCTAACGTAAACATAAATACTACACACGTTGTAATCACATTTCTGTTGTAATCTTACAATTATTAATGGTGCTGGGAATAAGCAAGATGATTTTGTCGTTTTTCTGTAATCTGTCAAAAGTATTTCACTTCATTCAGCTGCATAACTATTTCAAAAATTGAATATTATTGTGCTAGAATGCAAAAAACTGTCATTTGTGAAGTGGATAAAATTGAGTACTTAATTTTAATAAAACTCTTTAACATGAAGTTGACCTTATTATATGTGAAAAAAAAAACAAATCGCTATATATGTTTGATTTCATGGAATCAAAAAGTTCAAAGTTCCATTGTATTTTGCTAGATTCCCCACTGTATCTAAGGGAATCTAGTCCACGGGACAGAATCCTATGGAATCTCCATATATCAAGTTAATTTTACAGGTCTCTGCATCTTTTGATGTAAAAAAACCGACTTCAAAAAAAAGTTATAAAAAGAAATAATATCACAAAAAAATATTAAGTAAGTGGATCGACTCTTTGCAATTATACAAAGATGAAACTATGATTTGTACACTGTTTGAAAATTTTAACACCGTACTATCAGTTTGAATTAACTACGATTTGGGATAATTGATTTTCGAAAATATAACAAAACCCTTTTTTCTTGGATATTTCTTGCAAAAGATAATTACCAGCGATATCATCAATTATTAAATTATAACATATACAAAAATGTACAGGCATTGTAACACAGTTTCTTCGTATTTTTTCCTTGTTCTCTAATAATTGTGAAATTGAATATCAAGTAGGTTATTAAGTTACCTTACTTTCTAGCAGCCATCCAACAACAAAGTTAATTGATTGACTTGGTTTACAAAACATTTGTAAGTGTGATTTTAATTTGTGTTCTGTTTCTCTGAGTAAAATTAAACTAAGGTAGGTATGGCATTTAACGCCCAGTGTATACGCCCGTATACTGAAAATCTGAAATAATGTTGCCCAAGTTACATCACGCTTCACACATAGAATAAATTAATAGGCCTGCTCAGATGCAGCACGGCTTATTCTTAGTAACGAACGACAATCCGACTGTGCACGCTGTTATTACAAAAAATACTCCGACAAATTGGTAAGCTTAAGTTTTTTTTTTCTATATTCTATTGCTATTTTTATGATTATCTTTTATTTTAGATACCTTTATGTCAATTTGATTGATTTGTTTGTAAATATGTGTAAAATATGATATATAGATAGAAGGTCCTTTTCGAGTAAGAACGCCCGTAAAGTGAAGTTTGGCCATTTATACATGAATTTATACAAGGCCAGAATGTATGTGTATCATAATTATTTGGTTTTACAGATCGGGTAATGGGTCCATTTAATTCTAAGCGTAATAAAAGAGTGGAGTTGTGGTGTGAAGATACAATGAATTTAACATTTATGTTTAAGCTTTGTATGTACTTAATTTTAGACCGTTAATAGACGTTCTGTTTTGGGCGTCTTTAGCCAGCTACGTTTAATAGCGCCCAATAAGCATTTCATAATAATCTATATTTTTATGAAAATTGCTTTAGATATTGACGTTATATAGTTATAAAACCTGTTAGAAATGATATATTTTTATTAGATATTATTAAGTAGAAAATACGAAATGTCTTGGACGTGTTACAAAGTTTAAGTATTTGTAATTTATATAAAACAATTCTAATGATTTGTGAAAAAACAATTTCATATAATTTTAAGGTTTGTACTTACTTCTAAGTCGAAATATTTATGTCTATTAAGATTATACGTAAATTAATATACGGGCGTTAATAAAACCCAATAACAACCAAGCCAATTCAAAAAGTATGAATGATTAATAGCACTTAAGTGTTAGTTTTCTGTATTATTTTTTTATGAATGAAACTACATATTTTTCTAACAGTTTTTTTAATTCAATCGTTTCATTAAATAATATATTGATTTGAAATTAGGTGGGCGTAAGTTAACCTTATTAAAATTTAGGTTTCATATATGCAATGTAAAAATTTATTTATGTCTCTTTATAAAAAGACGACTGATTAATATGAAGTTCAAGCCATTATCCTACCAAATTAAATCAACATGACTCAGTTTGACGGGTTTTCTGCTGTTATTGTCAATTTGCTTTAGACTGCTAATGGTTTAAACCAAGTACTTACTAACTTCATTACGTATTTTAATAAGACAGAATTCATTTCATAAAAAATCGCATTTCTATGGCGACCCATCCCCAAACTAGACAGCACAGAGGCGCCGGCGCCAACACGATAAGATATTGATCCCTATAACACGTGTCCCATGCACGGCCCTGCATGGTCCCCATACATGGGACCTGCTGGGAACACAACACCACCTGTTCCTAAAAGCTTTTATGCGTTTTACGAAGTAAGCGTGCGATTTATGGTAGTTTTATTAGTTTTTTTTTTTTATTTCCGTGATTAGTCTTAAATATTTTTGTAGACTTTATAAATAATTTATTTAGTTTATCAATCTAAAGAAAGGGGGACGAAAAGTGTATAAAGTTTTTATATTTACAGTTTCATATTTATAATTACAAAGTTTTTCAATGTTTAAAAGATGTCAATAATTATGTTTGTACCTATTATATATGTCTATAAGAAAAAAAGTAACTCGTGCTGAGGTTCTGATTCTTCTCAGTAAAAGCCTTAGATTTACGAATTGATGAGAAAGATATTTATTAGTACCTAAATAAGAATATTATCGTTGATTTTAAGCTAAAATATATATATATGATGTATATTGTTATAATATATATAATGTTCTCATTCTAAGTATTTTTCTGTAATATTGAAGTATAATAAAGATAGAAAAGAAATGAATGTATTATCAAAAAAGCATGATTTTTGATATCTATTTTTTGTTTGGTTCTCTGTTGTTTGTACCATATAAAAACATAATTTAATAAACATATCTTTTTATGGTATTACAAAGTAATGTCAACTATTCTGTCTAATTGTAAGACTTTAATTCTAGTTGAAAGAATTAAAAGCTCTCTTATGGATTTTGGAAAACATAACTTGTAAGCTAGTTTGTGGTGAACGGTGTTGGTGTACAATTATATCTCATATGTTTAATTTTGTAATATCAATGTAAATTGCATCACTGTTTGTTTATCCCTAAAAATAAATTTTAAAAAATATGTATATCCTTATTCGACAGCATGATTGCATTTTATACGTATACTTGTTTAGATTACAGTCGGTAAAATAAAGTACACATTTATATATGATTTATATGGCATTCACACTGTTGTTGATTTTTATCAGATTTACTATCAGTTGCATAGACATTAGGTTTGCCGATACAAATTATCAAATCAAGAACATTACCTAATTAGAGCAAAAAAACGACGTTTGCGCAACTGGGTGATGAACATTCAAGATTGTTTGGAGGAGCAGCATTCGCAAGGGTCGTTCATAGGATGGGTGAACAAAAATTTTGTGTCTCGATTTGATGCCTTGAAAGGTAATTACCTTAAGCCGTTGGTATTGAATACATCTGCAGTCGTGAATGTATTGGTCATGACCCAATCTTCCTATTAGTTTACAACCTATATGGAGAATGACTATATCAGACCAGGGCATTTTAAGACAGATAATTATGACAACAAGGATTTAATTCGTTGCCCTTGCCAATTTTTTACTCTTCAAATAAATAAATGATACAGTTTTATAATATTAACTATTAGATAAATGCACAAGAATAGTAGAGACTTTAATGTCGAATTTTCGTTTAAATATCGTTTTAATTCGTTTAAAACCTCCTTTTACTGTAGCATATTAATTACCACATTAGACAATGTACCTTATATCATAAAGTACAATATAATAGACATTGATTGCACCATTTTTTTGTAATTTAAGACTGATGTATGTTTTAATAATATCCAGTGGCGGACGTTATATCAGGTTGTTCGCGTACATCCTGGCGTATTATGCGTGTATAAATCGCGCCGTGTGGTTGATGTATGACCGAGCACGTGGGTGTTTGATGTATATTAATATTGGTGGGGCTTTTAAGGTTATCGCTGGGTTGAAGGTGATCTGGTCCGATAGACCGATGCCGC